ATAGATTAGTGTAATGCCATCCAGTGGAACATACCAGACAATGCAATAAATGGTAAATGGTCACATTTTTATACGATACTTTTCCACCTTCAAAGCACTCACTTTAAGAAACCACTCATCCATCCATTCATACACACACTCATGCATCAGTGGGTTAAGTGTCTTGCCCAAGGACACAACAACAGCATTCAACTCGCACCGCCAGCCTGTGGGTCAGTCGATCTAACCCTCCCCCAATGATGTTTATGCTGAGAGTGGGATTTAAACTGCCAACCTTCGGTTCAGTGAGCCCCTTGCACTGTAAACCTGAATAAGTTACCAGAACTCAATTATTTTGAGTTGATGAACTTAAAAATCACAATCTTCCACAATTTAAAGGGTTGAATGGCTTGTAACTTTCCATAACAGCTCAATTAAAAGTCCTCATTTAGCTCAACTCAGACATTTGCAGTTAGAGTTTTCAAACCACTAGAATAGTTTATTTAATTTTCAGTTTTATATGTAATCCATGGTTTTTGTACACACATTGAACACACAATCCAATATATCCAGCTGTATCTACACACATTATAGTATACACACAAGTATACACACATTATACACACCGTAGGAGGGGGATTTGAAGGCAGGTCTCCCATGTGAAAGTCAGGAGATTTACTAGTCTAATCAATATGATATCATATGTATATAGTTTAATAATACATACGTACTTACATACATTACACATTATAGTATACACATAGCACATTATGCACACATTACATATTATTTTTTAACTACTTAATTCTACTAAGCTGTACCTCATCTATGTTTTTAAGTTACACTCCCTTATATCCACAAAAATATTAGTTAGAATTACTCAAAAAGAAGAACATGTTACAGCAACTTCACATAATTAAGTTAAAAGAACTATTTCAAAACTTTGAGTATCCACAACTTAATCTATTTAATTACTTTGAATGTTCAGGTTTACAGTGTGTGCTTTTAGGTATTTACAAAACAATTATTTAAAATGGAGTGCGTAGAAAACTTATGAATTAAATAAGTGTCTTGCCCAAAGCCACAATAGCAGAATATATAAATGCTAATGAGGATAGCACCATCAACTTTTGGGGTTACCAGGCAGTCGTGTTTTTTTTTGCCCCATCCTGTTTTGTTTTTCCAGAGCAACTCTAAAGCATTGGTCAGTTTGGAGTTTGATTTTTACAATCCTATAGCGAAAAATAAACCAAAAAATCCAGTTATAAACAGTAGGAGATGTTGTTACTTATTTGACCTTCATGCTCACACAAACAAATCGCTTTGTGCTAGTATTCCATTAACCTTGCATGCGGTTGCCAAAAATACACTAAATTCCTTGTATATTTTTGTAACTCTACCTCTATTGTCTCCTTTCTCCGCCCCCTCCTCCTCCTCCGCATATTTATCGCTGTCTGCCGAGTTTGGGTCACGCGTGTTACAGGTCTTTCAGGTCACTGTATTCTTCTGAGAGGGTTTGATTTATTTGTGCATTTATCTGCGCTGATTGCTTGAGAAGGCACTCACTCTTGCATGCGCTGCCCCCTGGTGTAAGTGAGAGGAGGCCAGTGACCAGTGATTCTCTGACGAATGGCTTGTGCATAGCTCTTCGCCGGCCCATACATTACTGTCTGACCCTATCTGACCAAACAGACACCAGCGAGAGGAGAGAGAGCAGGTTCAGCCTCAGCTCTTATCCAGTTTTGTATCATTAACCAGGTACTTAGCCCGGGAAAGTCCATGCATTTTGGTGGTTTATTAGATTGGCTGCCTCTATAATTCACTGAACAGATCCTGAACAGTGTCTGTACGACTCCAGGGATAAGGAACTGGAAAACAATTATTTCTCAATATACACCAGATTGAGAATCATTGTCCTTTTTCACTCCGAAACTTCTGCTAACTCGTTTGGATGTGTTTATGAAATCTTTTCACCCCACTAGGCTTCTTGAGGCAATCTGTAAATCTCCTAGATGTTTTTTTTTAAAAGTTCATACGCATGTACATACAGAAATTAAAATGTGTTGATACTAAGAAGATGTATTCTTTTCTTTTGTTAATTTTACTTAAAGCAGATTACACATTCCAAGATACAGAATAAAATCACAGTGTTATGGAAACCGGGAGGGCTCATAACAAATGCAAATGCAAATGCTGCAACAAATACAAACGCGACAACACAACAAAAAGCCACAACACACCAAAAACAAAAAAAGCCACAAAGGAAGGTGACCGCGGGACTCTATTTTAATGCAAATTCCACAACAAATACAAACATCACAACACAAATTCAAACATCACAACACAAATGCAAACGCCGCAACACAAATGCAGACACCGCAACACAAATACAAACACCACAACACAATTGCAAATACCACAACACAACACAAAGCCACAACGGAAGTGACTGCGAAACTCTATTTTAATGCAAACGCCACAACACAAATACAAATGCCGCAACACAAATGCAAACGCCACAACACAAATGCAAATGCCACAACACAAACACCACAACACAATTGCAAATACCACAACACAACACAAAGCCACAACGGAAGTGACTGCGAAACTCTATTTTAATGCAAACGCCACAACACAAATGCAAATGCCACAACACAAATGCAAACGCCACAACACAAATGCAAATGCCACAACACAAACACCACAACACAAATGCAAACGCCACAACACAAATACAAATGCCGTAACATACATGCAAACGCCACAACAAACCAAAAAGCCACAACGGAAGTGACTGCGGGACTCTATTTTCCGACGGACCAAGCGAAGCGTTAAAGGATCAAGCGGGAAGTGAATGGGAAAAGTTGAAGAAGAACAAGAATGTGAAAAGGAAAGGAACGGAGAAGTGAACGAAGTTGGAAACATAAATAAAAGTAGTTTATTGTTTTATGGCCAGGATCGATGTCACTGACCGTCGCTTGGTCCGTCGGAAAATAGAGTCCCGTGGTCACTTCTGTTGTGGCTTTTTTTTTTTTTTTGGTGTGTTGTGGCTTTTTGTTGTGTTGTGGCATTTGCATTTGTGTCGTCGGGTTTGTGCATTTGTTATGAGTCCTCCCTGCTTCCGTACAATGTTCTTGCTTTTCTCCTTTTTAACAAACAAAAACTCAGAACAGTTTGGGGTAACGTCTTTGTTTATCGCTTTGACAAAACACTGCAAACATAAGATAACTCAATCAATGAAATCAGATCTCATGTTACTCCTTTTTTATTTGAGCAATTTCTTATCATTATTGTTAAAGCCATCTCGTACTACGTTACCCAGATACAATACTGATAGAACAAAATTGTGACTGCGTGCTGGGTCCAAAGACAAAAATAGTGCAAAAAAAAAAGAAAGAGATCCGCACTGCAGTTCTTTGAAGCTCCCAAATTTTCAATGACACCACAATGTGACGTTTCGGGTCAAGCCCTTCTTCAGACATGGACACAGATACAAGCCATCAGTGACATTTTGCAGATGTTGATGATGAATCTCTGACCACACTTTTCCAAAAAAAAAAAAAAAAATGGAAATGATTGGCACCATCATTGGCACATCTCCAACAGGCATGTCTTTTGGAGTGGTATTCAAAAATAGAAACTCTCTCTCCCCTCTAGTAAATGCTACCTCGAGGTAATCTACAAATCTCTTCAATGTTATTTTAGAAGTTCATACACACATTCAATTTAAAAGTTGCTTTTGATGCTAAGAAAATTGATTCTCAAAGCAATTATTACTCAGTATATACAAGATAGAGAGCATCACTGTCTTCAGGAAACTAACTTCACTAATTTGCATTCGTATGGGTAATATGTCCTTTGGTTCCTCAGAGTAAACATCGTCTTTTGGTAACTGGCAAAGCTCTTCGATGTTTTTAAAGTCCATTTAACCTCATGCACTCAATCTCTTCTGATACAGTCTCCCTTCTGACTGGACAAATGCTGTTAAAATACTGAAATTGAAAACTTGGCAACACTTTATAATAACTACACCTTATTTAGCCTTAATAAAGCATGAATAAAGACTTAATTAATAATGAACAAAGACTTAATTAATAATGATTCACGCTTAGTAAATGTTTAATAAAGGATAATTAGTCTTCACTTTAGAAAAGCTCTCCAAAAGACTTAACTAACAGATAATAGCTGCCTGAATTATCATTGCTTTGCATTATTAGTAAATCATTCTCTCATAGTTTACTAATGATTAATAAATGCTCAAATGGTTAGTCCATGAGTAATTAAGTATGAAATAATTATGAGTAACTATTTACAGCACAGGCAAATGAAGTGCTAATTAAGGTAGTAATTAAGTAGATACTAAGCGTGAATCATTATTAATTAAGCCTTTGTTCATGCTTTATTAAGGCTAAATAAGGTGTAGTTATTATAAGTGTTACCGACTTCTGGAAAACCATTATTTCTTATTGTATAACAGATCGAGAATCATGGTCCTATTGTACTAACTCTTTTAATCTGTACTTTTTTGGTCTAAAACCCCCTAATTGGTTAACTTTTTTTTTTTTTTTTTCATTTTCTATTGATTGTCTCTCATCTCTGTTCTGACCATTTGTACTAAACTAAAATTAAAAACTCGAAGGAGGTGCTTGAATCTTTATACAAATATTGATACCACGTTGTTAAAACAGGCAAAGTGATGAGTGGGAGTATTTTGTTTTCAGCCCAAAATGTAAATATCAGAGTTGGAACTATTCAAAAACGTATTAAAACTTATTCCTTATAGTTTCTTTGTTTTGATCAATAATGTGCAGCCAGTAAATTGCTCAACCCTCTTCATTTACGTCGGCTTGGAGTGGTTAAAATTCTTGTTTTGCTCGAGTCCTATAATATCTTAAATTAAGCTGAAGTGCGCTACTACGATAATTATGCAGTTTTGTATATTTCCTTCACACCTGACGGGGCTGGATTATCTGTTTTTGGAGCCTTTGGTGATAATTATTCATGTTTCCTGTTCACAGATTTATCCAGGAGATCGAGATGAACATGGGTCCAGGCCAAGCCAAGCAGTGCCAGCTCCGAGCGTTTCTCACATACTACATCAACGACCTCTTCCTCAACCAAGTGAGTTTAATTAAGTCTATTCACTTCTTTTCACTTTTTATGCAAAACTTTTATCCATCTTTATTTTTAAATCTGATATTTCGGTGGCTAAAAGTGTTATATAACTTCTAGCCAAGAATGAAAACACACAAATCTGAAAAGTGCGTAATGGCTTAAAGCTGTGTGGGGTTGAATGAACAATTAACCTGTTCTTGCTCTCACAGATACACAAGGCATACCATCTTTATTAAAACATCTCAAGGGCTTTTTAATACTCACTTTCAATTTATTTAGTAATGTTTAAATAAATGTCCTCAACATTCCCCGGGGGGTGTTATGCTAAGTGTAGGCACTGCTCTGTCTGAAGTTCTGTTACTCCATCTATCCAGCCATTTTCTTCCGCTTATCCAAGGTCTGGTCGAGTGAGCAACAGTCTAAACATAAACCGTATATATGAGTGGACATGGCTCACGCATTAGCTGCCACGTGGAAGTTCACTAGGAGGCTCTTTCCACTCCTTCTGACCCTGGCTTCAATTAACTTACATTGGGATCTTGTCATCTTTCTGTAACTCCTGCAGTGAGCCTCGTCATTTTGGTCTTAAAATGTTTGTATTAACCTGCTCTACATGACCCTGAATTTTATTTTATTTTTTTTTGCTATTTTGTCCATCAGAAAAATCCTATTCATAATATAGAGCCTGGCTCCAGATTCGTTCCTGTAACTGTGAGCATTGCGAGCCTCATTTGAGCGCCGCTGAACTCAATGGGTGACGTCACACTCGCTTAGTTCACTTCTTTTATACAGTCTATGAGTCTGAGCAGGGACTCCCAGACTTCCTGCACCCCAGACTCTTCTTCCAGCTCCCCCCAAGGCATTCCCAGGTCAGATGAGAGACATAGTACCTCCAGCGTGTTCCGATACTTGAGCCACCTCAGCTGGCTCCTCTTGACGTGGAGGAGCAGCGGCTCTACTCCGAGCTCCCCCCGTGTGACTGAGCTCCTCACCCTATCTCTAAGGAAACTCATTTCGACCACTTGTGTCCGCGATGTTCTTCTTTCGGTCAATACCCAAAGCTCATGACTATAGGTGAAGGGAGGAATGATGAATGACCAGTAAATCGAGAGCTTTGCTTTTTGGCTCTGTTACTGAAGTTAGTTTAATTTTGAGTTTTGTTTTAACACAATGTGACCAAAAAGAACTGATTTAGCTGGAACTGCAAGAGGTGACAAGTCCCTCTCAAATAACATTGCAGTCACAAACTAGCTAACATTACCCAACAGTTTTTCAGTTATGAGTATTTTCTTGTTGAAAATCAAACACCTTAATAGGAAACAGGACCCTGAAAGCCCTGAAAGTGTGTTGTTTAATTTTGTGTTTTTTTTCTTGACCTTTCAGACTATCTTAAAACTTTCTTGGCTGTATTTGATATTCTGTGCATTGTGTAAACATGGAAACTTCTGAACATTTCTCTGTATACTTACATGCAGAACACTCCCAGCATGATGTCGCTGCAAAGTATTGATTGCATATGGTGTTGTCATTGAACGCTCAGGACTTATTTATTTAATTTTCAGGAATATACTGTAGAGATATAGCCAGGTATTTATGTTATTTATGAAACATGTAAGAAGTAAATTTCTCTAAACCAGTTACCAGCTCAAAAAAAGTTTCACACCCAGATTATTTTTTTGTGTAATAGTTAAGCTTTTTTTTGTATTATTTGTATTTATTTGTTTAATGTATTTATAATTTTTTGTCTCATTTATATATATTTTATTTACTTTATATATTTAATTTAACTTGTCTTATTTTAGGTGCGAACAGAAATCAACAAAGAGATCGAAGCCGTGAGTAAAGCAGCGGACCCTCTGAAGATCCTCGCCAGCGCAGACACGATGAAGGTGCTGGGAGTCCAGAGACCACTGCTACAGGTACAGGGAATATTAAAGTATTAAACTGGGCCAAATGAGGACAAACTGCGAGTGGTTTAATTGCCAAAAACTCTTGAAACACATGCACCGTTCAATGTGAGCTGGGTTGCCTCTCCACAGATCTGACCTATAACTTGGCCTGGTAGCATCACACACTTGTCTCTGTGAAGTTTAATGGCTCATACTGCTTATATAATACTGTGGAATATTTGAGGCAAAGTAGGTTCATGGTGAATCTTTAAAGCCATACTCTGGGAACAGCAATAACATCTCCATGGAGACAAGCAGGTAGTGAACCCCCCACCAGAAAATGTAGTTATTGTACGTTTAAAGGGTCCATATTATGCTATTTTTTTAATCTATGTTATAATGTTGTTTCCTCATTGCAAATAGGGCTGGGTATCATTAAGAAGCTGCAGGTACGATACATACCTCGATACACAGGCCACGATACGAAACATATCTCGATACAGTGCACTTTCAATTCAGTAACATATAGTTCAAATCGATTCGATGTGGTTCAGTAAAAAATAATGGCTAAATCATGGCTGTGATACTAAAAGTCTTTGTTAAACCATTTCTTGTGAAAAGTTAATATGAAACACAAACATTTTAATCCTCAAAACCAGGGGTGTCCAAACTTTTTTCATCAAGGGCCACATATCTAAATGGAGACGAAGGAGAGGACTGATCAAGGGCCATAGACTGGTGTTCAGTACAGTGAATAATTGTAATATGTGCATGAGCCATCGTCTTTATTCAGGCTAAGATCCTTAAAATCACACATTAACATAATAAATATTAGCTTTATCAAGGTAGATTTTCAGAAAGCTTGCAATAAAAAGTTAAGTTTTCATTGATGCAAGGTAATCTGGGCCAATATTTTTGGAAGCCTGAGGGCCAAGAAAAATTTGTCTGAGGGCCACATTTGGTCCACGGGCCATAGTTAGGACATGCCTGCTCAAAACAGTGAAAATGTCAAATGTCTCGCATAAACAAGTTTCCTTCAGCTAAACAACCAACAAAACTGTAGCACTGTAACAAAATAATTTAGTAAAATACACCAAAAAATACTCTTGGTGATATATCGATGCAGCAGCTCACGATATAGATACTGTATCATCACATTAAGCATTACGATATATCAATAATTTTACACACTCCCAATTGCAAACTAACCTGGAGTTGTCTTAAATTTTGCCCTGACGAAGACCATCTTGCTGGTCAAAACGCATTGACATCCCTTCATACTATTAAGGACTTTTAATATATTCAGTTGGAGTGCCTCAACTTTGTACCTTGCCCACTTTTACATTTTCCAGTAAGGGCAACTTTGTGTTTAAGACAACTAGTTTAACCCTAATAGATCACCTGTACTGCTATTTTTAAACTCTTTTATGACCCAGTGAAGTCCTCCACCTCTTTTCTTTATCTGACATACCTGGAGTTGTGTTTTGTTTCATTCACACATGTCTAACACACAAATCCTGCATATTTAGGCCGAGTTCTTTTCTCTAACAGAAAACAATCTGTTCCACTTTGAGATGTCAAGCAGTAACAGGAAGTGTTCCACTGTGTTTTTCCATACACTCCATACACCTTGGCTAGAATCATTTGGATCCTTTCAGCCCTGGAATTGCCAATCTCGACTGAACAAAAGTTAAAAGGAGCTGTTAACTTAGAGATGTAGACAGACTAATAATAAAGGATTGTTCAAACATGCGTGAATGATACATGTTTTAAAGCTCACAAGAGTCGGTTTTGTGTAATATACGACCTTTAAACAACAGGGGAAAAATAAAAACTTGTGCCGACACCTTGTTTTAACTTCAATACGTTTAATAGCTCTGCCATTTATCCATATGATGCAAACTTAGTGCTGTAATATAAGTCATTAAATGTGCATTTGTCTCCTGTGGCTGGTCTCTGTGGGAGGGAGCAGTGGTGGCAGTTACAGAGAGAGTCTGTGGGCGTCGGGTTCACTCGGGTTTGTTTACGGCTTAGGCCCCTCCTTAACGAGCTCTGCAGCATCGCGCTAATTATGCTGCTGTGGCTAATGAGGCTTTCTGCTGATGGAGGAGCGCAATGAAACACTGCCTTTGTTTGGACTTTTGCCTTTATAATTGGACCGAATAAAAGAGAGGCCAGGGTCCAGGGGCCAGGGTCTAAAACAGAGACCAGAGACCAGGGACCAGGGGCCAGAGGCGAGGGAGAAGAGAACAGGGACCAGAGAACAGAGACCAGGCACTCGAATCTAACTCAGGATCCAGACCAGAGAACAGGAACCAGAGAACAGAAACCAGGGACCAGAGTCTAGATTTGGTCCAGACCAGAGACCAGGCACAGGAGTCTAGATCAGGGTTCAGACCAGGGACCAGGCTCTAGACCAGTTAGCAGGGACCAGAGACCAGAGATCATAGACCAGAGTCTAGATCAGGGACCAGGGTTTAGATCAGTTAGCAGGGACCAGAGGCCAAGCACCAGGGACCAGAGAACAGAGACCAGGGGCCAGGGTCTAGACCACTTACCAGGGACCAGAAACCAGACTAGAGACCAGAGAACACAGACCAGAGTCCAAATCAGCGTCAGGACCAGAGACCAGCAACCAGAGAACAGAGAACAGACTGAAAATTCTGTCCCGCACAGACCTCAAATTCCACACACCTTCACTGGAATCATTTGGATAATTTCAGCCCTGGGATTGACAGTCTATCACAGATATGTCAAACTCAGGCCCGGGGGCCAAATTTGGCCCACAATATAATTACATATTTGGCCCGCGAGATCATATCAAATATGTATTAGAGCTGACCTGCAAGCTACAGATAGGTTATAGAGGCATTATTTATGTAAAATTTTGTTCTTATTTTTTTATTTGAATACAATTTTTAAGCAAAACTATTATTAAACATTTATTTTAATAAGAAAAGGTTTAACATTACATATCTCGAAAGAAGAGAAAACATGCAGATGTTGAAATTTTTCAATAAATATTTAGTTTGGCCCATGACTTAGTCCCAGTTTTTAATTTTGTCCCTCTGTGAATTTGAGTTTGACACACTTGGTCTATTGAATTAAAGGTAAAAGGAGCTGTTAACTTGAAAACTACAGCTTCAACAGCTTTGGAGTTGTGGACAGAGTAATAATGCAGGAATACTCATGTGTGAATGAAACAAAACACAACTCCAGGTTTATTTTTGAGGAGGAAACAACATTATAACATGGCTAAAAGCTCACAAGAGTCAATTTTATTGTAAATTAGAACCGTTAAAATTGTATTAATTTCCCAACCCTAAACTAAAACATGATACCGTAACATCCCTAGTCCACCGACGTTTTTGCAGTGTTCATAGATGCCTTTTAATGATATCCAGCCTTCCTCTAATATAATTCTTAACTGTATCTAAAACGGTTGAGAAACACACCAGCTCTGGACCAGGTGGTGAGTCTGCTCAAGTATGACGGCGATGCATAATTAAAGAGCACAATGACAGTTCCATATAACGCTCGCTCGGTTCTCCAATAACGTGGCAGATGTGGCTATGATTGGGTTAGCGTTAGTGTTAGCGCGTGTGCTCCTTCAAATACCCATTTTTTGATGTGTTCGAGAGCCAGCCGCTATCAAAAACAGACACACAACGCTGGCTTCAAGTGTGTGGTGTTGAAAAAGCAGGCTACAGAGCATTAAACACACATTCTTTGATGGGAAAGGAAAACCATAGGGGACTGTCTATATTATACATCTGCTCACTGGAACCACTCAGGCTCAAAGTCTGTAGGCAACTGCGTTAGATCAGTCAAGCTTTTCTGCAAAGTACCGCCTTTAAATAATATTTGGCTTTTCGGAGTAGATGAAGACAAATCCATGGCCTACACAATGTGAAATAAACTATGCCTAAACCTTTTGAACAGATATGGAGACGCTTTTTGAGTATTTTGACAAGATTGGACTTGTTTTGGGTAGGGGTGTGCAGAAATATTAAAATATCAAAATATCATACAGATTAATGTGATGATACAGTATCGATATCGTGGGCTGCTGTATTGATATATCGCCACGAGTATTTTTTTTGGTATATTTCACTAAATTGTTTTGTTACAGCTCTACAGTTTTGTTGCTTGTTTGGAAAAAGCAAACTTGTTTATGAGACACATTTATCATTTTCAATTTTGATGATTAAAATGGTGTGTTTCATATTCACTTTGCACAAGAAGTGGTTTAACAAAGACTTTTAGCATCGCAGCCATGATTTAACCTTTGTTTTTTATTGAACCATATCAAATCGATTTGAAATATATCATATCGAATCATAATGAATCGAAAGTGCACTGTATCGCATCGGGAACTTCTTAATGATATCCAGCCCTAGTTGTGTGGGAGTTTTATGGTTTTGTTGTCTATTTTTGTTTTTGTTATGTATAATTAAAAAAAACATAAATTAATAATAAAATATACCTAGCCCTGGACTAAAGCTTATCTATAGTTGGTGTAAACCAGGTCTAAACCAGCAGGACTCAAGCTTAAAGATGCTCTACATACAGTAACTTTGCTGATGTAAAGTATCCTACCTGCTAGTTTCAAAAGTATTAGTTTAGTTTATGTTATTGAATTCTTTTTTCAGACCAAGACTTTGTTTTATACCTCACAGTTTCGACTGCTCACTAGCGGTCACGTGAGTGGTCAGAGCGGTCACGTGATGTTGCTGTGATGTGTCCGGTCATCTGATTTAAACAGGTTTTGGCTCTGTCTTCCTACTGGTGGAGGCAGGACGACAGCGCCATCTGCAGTCCCACTTCCTCAGGACAGTATCCCAGGTGTATGAGACTAAAAAAGCCCCCTCGTCCCGGTTTATAGTTTAAATCAGCTGATCAGACACGTCACAGCAACATCACGTGACCACTCTGAGGAAGACCGCCAGTGAGCAGTCGAAACTGTCAGGTATAAAAACAAACTTTTGGTCTGAAAAAATAACCTAATAACATTATTTATCAGAAGACCA